ATCTAAACTAAGGAGGCGTCTACGCTACTGTCACCATTCGACGGAAGCACTAGAAAAGATAATAGAACTCATCCCACTTGAATGGATACGTATACTCAGAGGAGGCTGTAAATTAATAATAAATGACTGGGTAGCACTCAACTCTCAACCCCAGTCCATTGACAAAATTCTTGATCATGCTCAAAATGGGGACTTTCTCTTACAATTTTTTTCCTTGTCATCTAACAATACTGCAGTTCCATTGAGTCAAGGGGAAACTCGATGGGTCCAAGCCCAGCAGATCTTCAGAATAAGAGTAATTAGGGGTAAAGATTCTTGGTTAGCCTTCAAACCGGACTATCATATCTCTAAACTACCACTCGACCCAACCAATTGGGTATGAAGTTCAGAAATAAGAGTAGGTAGACATAACAGATCCTACACGAGGACTATTCATTCGCTGAAAGTCAAATTAACTTATCGAATGTTGCGGCCGAGAATCAATTTGAAAGACAGAGTATCCGCCAGATGGATAAAACACCTAAATATAAGCAAGGACGAATTGAGGTCAGTCAGGTGGTTCAAAACAATCAAGGATAAACCAACCAAAATTGTTTCCCTCCAATGGCAAATTGAGCACACTGCCAGGTGTCTCCCAACAAACGACTGGCTAATTGACAAATCCTCCTTAAAGCAAAAAGGAATAGCATCAAGATAGTGTAAGTTTTGCAGAATAGCCTTCCCGAGTAGAATAACTCCTGAAACCATAAAGCACATCTTTATGCAATGTCTGGGCTCCACCTGGCTATGGAGGTGGTGGGACCACATCTAGTCACAACTAGTCCCACAGGTTCCATGGCCATGGGGGTGGAAAGTTATCCTCCTAGAGACATGGACCCCCAAGTTAGACGCAATGGAAAATCAGGAAGAATTTATAGGTAATATTTTCCGTATAGGGCGAAGAGTTGTAATGCGGGCCATCTGGAGGAGGAGGTGCACTTATGAATTGGAAGGGTCAGACTAGATGGACCAGACTTCACAGAGACTATTAAGCAACAAATCGAAACAAACATCCTAACAAAATGGGGTCAGATAAAGGAAAAAGTTCATTTCTTATCCAATAAATCAGAAATCCAATCACATTTTCAAAAATTTAGTCGCAACTGGCTGGGCGGAAACTAGGGAGGGAGATTGGCAAAAGTCATATGGAATGGGGCAATGAATGATGATGATGTTGAGATTAAAAAGGACTATAAAATGAAATTCGGCGACTGGACTACTATTGAGGCTTCAGTGCCTATGCGCCTTCTATCAGATTTCCCAGATCCTTTCCCCCCCCCCAGCATCAACTCTTGTTCCTAGCTCATGGTATAGATAGAGGAAATCCTTAGCAATATCTCAATTTTCAGGAATAACACAGCTAGTGCTAATAGGTATATCTGGTGCCCTGAGAAAAGGGTGAAGAGGTAGTGTCTTTCCCCTGATTCATAAGAGTGGAAGAGAGTACTCCCTATGGAGGTAGCCAAAATTATTAGTGTTTTCAATCCCAGGTTTCTGGATATCTTTGTATTCAATTGTTCATTCAAGGGACAATGGACCCGATTTCCAGCAGGTGAAGCTTCCCACCAATAGATGGAGCAAAAAAAAAAAAAAACATAGCTTATACCATGTTGACCGATTATGCCAATTCGATTGGGCGCCGACTTTTCGTATCCCCACAGTGCCCGTTCTCGTATAACGAGGAACGCACACATGTCTGTGAGTGGGATGTACGAGAAGTTGTTGCGAAGATCGGAGGGCGTTATTACTTTCCTCCCGAAACAAGGTGCTCAGGGTTCATAGGTGCTGGTTTCGTCATTGTTGGTACTCATTTTTTGTCGTACTCTTTATTATTGTCATTTAACGAACTAATTGTCATCCTGTGGATGGTAGTTAAACCTAATGGGCCCAACACTTCTTGCAGCGATTGCTGCCGCATGAGCGCTATGATCGGGAAAAGGGGTTACACTACCGGACACGCGGCGAGGACGAACACAAGGAAAGGGCGACCAGGTTATGGCTGTCCGCGTCGGATTTTGAGCTCTATAATGAGTGGCGTCTGGACTTAATTCGAAAATGAGATCCCACGTGTGTGGCTCTACCTTTCTGGTGGAAAAAAAAGGCGTTTATCGTTTGCTAAGACCAATAGTGGATGTGACATCTATAATAAGAGATCGATGGTTTAAACATTTGAATATAGATGTGCACAAAATTCAAAATATAACATTTTTTAACAAATTAAAACAGAGACCAGCCAAGTTCTCCTCACTACAGTGGCAAATAATTCATAGGTGTCTGCCCACTAATGATTGGCTTATTGATCATACTAATTTAGAGCAACGGGGTCTGACACTTCCATGGTGCAAAGCCTGTCTTTCGGTCTTTCCTAATAAAAAGATCAGGGAAACCCTTAAACATGTTTTCATCCAATGCCCAGGCACGGTATTGGTATGAAAAAGGTGAGACTGTGTGTGGAGAGGTCTGACGGGGATTGAATGGCCATGGGACTGGAGAGCCATTCTTCTGGGTCATTGGGAACCAACGAATATACAACTTTCAGAATTTGAGAGAAATTTATTTCAAATTGGTCGGAAGGTTATTTTATGGGTAATATGGTACAAAAGGTGTGTAAATGAAAGAGAAGATGCAAAGCTGGAAGGAACAGAATTTGCTCAACTGATCATTCAATTTGTACAGACAGAAATACGGGCACAATGGTTAACAGTCCGTCCAAAGATACATCATTCCCAGCAAAAAAATGATATTATTAATAGTATTCAACAATTTAATCTTAAACCACCAGTACCTGGCCCAGCTATCAGCCGCGGCGCTTCCCGTATACGCGCCGCACCATTTGGGCTTCGGCCTGCCGGACCGCATTGGCTGGCGGCCGCAAGCAAAACAAAAAAGAAAATTGCGATTGCGGTTCGGCAGGACTTGGCGCGCAGCGTGCTTGTAGCGGACCCACCGGGTGTGGTGCTCCGCTAGTGACAGAGATGGAGATGGAGGAAGAAGGGGGAGCAAGATGGCACAACACAGCTCCCCACGCAAGACTCCACCGCACGTACTCCAAAATATGCAAGTGAGGAATGAGACTGAAAACAGACAATGGCTGGGGTATACCCCAGCGGACTGACGGGACTGGATTGGACTGGATGGTACCGACAGAGGTACCGGCCTGGACTGGCCTACCCCGAATATAACACAGGCCTGTGAGAACAGGCCAAAGGGCTGGTCTCACAGGCCAACCCGAGGTCCGCTACACGATCCTCGGCCTGTGATGGATCGCCTAGATACAAACATGCTTCCGCCAAGAAGCGGAACTCTACCAAAGAAAAGAAAACCTGAGTAGTCTAGGATGCGGAGCAAGCTCCATGCTGAGTCCATGTGATGCAACCGAGGATATAAAATGTCACAAAACAGCAATGTCACAGCTAACAGCCTAAGTGAAAGTAGGAGCAACTAACTAACCTACATGTCCTAGGAAAGCAAAAAGTAGTGACAACTAGATCCTAGAATGTTGGAGGCACTAGCCTCAGTCTGGTAACAACTGACTAGTCTATAAGTCCTAAAAACAGCAAAAGCAGGACAACTAAATCCTAGAAACGTCGGAGGCAGTAGCCTCAGTTTGAGAGCAACAAAGCAATCAACAAGACAACCATATGTCACATGAGAAGTGTGTCGCACACCAAAGGGTGGGATGGTCTCTGAGGGTGGCGAATGCAGCCAAGGGTTCGAAAACTCCTAAGGGCATCCACACATAGTGACAGGGGAAAACACATGTCATCAGGCTCAATGAGGGTAGGGAACTGGGAGCGAACAGAACCAATGACCCTAACAGATAGACCATCAGGGCGGGTAATGCTCGACTAAGGGGTGACCGCTATGGAGGGTCGACCATGCAAGGGAACAAGGGAGCCTGGTATACTGGGCGCACCTAGATGAAGCATGCGGGGCTGCCTAACTAGGGCGTGAGGGCCGGCGAAAAGTAGAAAGATGATGGGTAAGGGAATCATGCAAATGACTCCTAAAGTGAGGGAAGTCGGAGCTAGATCCGTAAGATGGGAAGCCAGGGCAACGCTACGGTCCCGATGCYTATGCGTATACCAAGGGAGAGCCCAACTSAGAGGAACCCGGCTAAACGGAGACCATCATGCGACACAAGCAGGGTACTGTACAGGGTAGAGTGGTAAGAGAGTGGCGACGTCTGAAGTAGGCAGAGCTGATCGTGGTGAAGTCCATGAAGCTGCTGATGACGTCCACGATGAGAAGTCCGGAATGCCGTCGAGGAAGAGCCGCAGCGTCGACGAGCTGAAGTAGCAAAAGTGATGTGGATGGAGTACTGAGAAGTCAAAGACGTGGGAAGGTAAGTCAGAGTCAATTGTCGTATCGAGCAGGACGGCGACGAGTGCGTTGTGGACGCTCAGAAACTTCCGGCTGCTGCTGAAGGTCTGCCTCAGATGGAGCAGGCTCCACTTCAGCGGTCTCCTTAGCCGGAGGAGAAGGAAGAGGGTCAGTGGGCTGAGGAGGAGCAGTGAACCCAGCACGACGAGCACGGTCATAGGCACGCTCCAACATGCGAGCGTGCTCCAAGTGCTCTAGGGGCTCCCAGGTAGCCTCCTCATCAGGGTAACCCTTCCAACGTACGAGATACTCGACGTGGGGAGGGTTGTCGTCGGTGACTCGGCGACCAATGATGTCTGAAACGAGGAACTCCTCGTGGCCGTCCACCATGATGGGTGGAGGGCGCTCGTATGGTCGTCCAGCGAAACGCTCAGACGGTCTGCGGTAAGGACGCAGTAACGAGATGTGGTAGACATCATGCACACGAGACTAGCGTAGGTAGTCGGGCAACTGCACACGAAAGCTGACCGGGCTAGATGCCATATCAGAACCGACGGCTTGGAGGATGCGGCATGGGCCAAAGAAGCGACGCCGAAACTTGCGAAGCGTGTCCGCTTCGAGCTGTAAGTGGCGGGCGTCGATAAGCACATCATCACCGTCCTTGAATGGGTGATCCATCCTCGATCGGTTCACACGTGCTGCCATGCGAGTCTGGGAAGCGGCTATGTGCTCATGTGCGGTCTTCATAATCGACGTCATGTGTGCAACCMAATCATCCAGCGCGGGACAACTCGTGTCGGGGTGCATCTGGGACGGTCGAAGGAAGTCCGCGRGAACACGCGGGTGATAGCCGAGCTCGCAATAGTAAGGCGACATCCCCGTGGCTGGCGAGACGGCGTGGTTGTAGGCTATCTCCGCGTGGGCAAGATGGAGATCCCACTGCTGGTCGTCACGAACAATCTTTCGGAGAATATCCCCGAGAGTCCCGTTCATGATCTCGGTCTGACCATCAGTCTGAGGATAGTAAGGCGAGGAGAAGCGGAGCTTAGTGCCGTACACCTTGTGGAGCCGTCACCAGAATCGGCTGGTAAAGCGTGGGTCACGGTCAGATATGATGCTCAGAGGTAAGTCGTGGTCATGCATGACTCGGTCAAATACGATGTCGGCGACCTCACGTGCACGGATGGCATAGCGGCACGGAACAAAGCGTGCACGCTTCGTGAAGCGGTCGACGACGACCAGGATAGCATCATGACCGCGGGGGGTCGGAGGTCGAAGAGGAC